CTTTCGGGGACGCAGACGTGAGGGTAAAAGTGCAGAGTAAAAGAAAAAGTCCCGTCATGTTTTCGGAGTGAGTCCTGAGCCTGATCCTGAGTCTCGGGGAGCGCGCGTTTTCCTTCCTGAAATTCCATCCACACGACACGCGCATTAAATGTCCACGACCACAGCTTCAGTCCCGGGAAAACTGTGGGCGGAGAAAAAAAAAAAAAAAACTAAAACAAATAAAACTTTTTCTTGTCCTTGAGGTTGTTTCGGTGAAGCGGAGCGTGACGGATCCGCGGGAGAAACAGCGAGAGAAATGCGAGAGAAAGAGGGAGTACTTCTTCTTTTAGGAAAACATCTGGGCTGCGCATGCGCACATCGAGCCGAAACAGGAAAAAAACTAAAAGTACAAAAACCACAACAACTACTACTATTATTACTACTACTACTATAAATATTACTACTACTACTATTACTACTACTACTACTACTATACTACTATATACTACTACTACTGTATACTACTATATACTACTACTACTATATACTACTACTATACTACTACTACTACTACTACTACTACTACTACTACTACTACTACTACTTACTACTACTACTACTACTACTACTACTACTACTACTACTATAACTACTACTACTAATATTACTACTACTACTACTATACTACTACTACTACTACTACTACTACTAAATATTACTACTACTACTAAATATTACTACTACTATACTACTACTATACTACTACTACTACTAATACTACTACTACTACTACTAAACTACTATATACTACTATATATATACTACTACTATACTACTACTACTACTACTACTAAATATTACTACTACTACTACTACTACTACTACTACTATATACTACTACTACTACTACTACTACTACTACTACTACTACTACTACTACTACTATATACTACTACTACTACTACTACTACTACTATACTACTACTACTACTACTACTACTACTACTAAATATTACTACTACTACTACTATACTACTACTACTACTACTACTACTACTATACTACTACTACTATACTACTACTACTAATATTACTACTACTACTAAATATTACTACTACTAAATATACTACTACTACTACTACTACTACTACTACTACTACTACTACTACTATATACTACTACTACTACTACTACTACTACTACTACTACTACTACTACTACTACTACTACTACTATACTACTACTACTAAATATTACTACTACTACTACTACTACTACTACTATACTACTACTACTACTACTACTAACTACTATACTAAATACTACTATACCTACTATAAATATTACTACTACTATAAATATTACTACTGCCATGCCTACTACTACAAATACTACTACTATGTGACCTACTACAAATATTGCTACTATGCCCCCTACTACCAATAATACTATTATTCCAATTACTACAAATACTACTACTATGTCGACTACTACAAATACTACTACTATGACTACTACTAGAAATACTACTACTATTCCTACTATAAATATTACTACTGTTATTCTTACTACTACAAATATTACTACTATGCCTACTAATAAATATTATGAATACTATAAATTTTACAACTACTATGCTTACTATTACAAATACTACTACTACAGATACTACTACTATAAATACTATCAGTTAATGAATAAAGTAGTTAGTTAATTGGTTAATGAATAAATTAGTTATTGTAATTAATGAATCATTGCATTTATACAGCACCTTTCAAAACACTCCACACTGGTGTAAACTACTACTGTAGCCACAGCTGCCCTGGGCAATGTGGGTGAAGTGTCTTGCCTAAGGACACAACAACAGTTTTGTGTGTGTGTGTGTGTGTGTGTGTGTGTGGTGTCTGGCGCCCCCCTGTGGCTCCTGATGTTCCCAGTATCTCCATCCAAACCTGCCCAGACCTGCTGACGGGATTAGACTTTGACAAGGAAGTACAGTCTCAGTCGTACTACTATACTACTATACTACTACTACTACTACTACTGCTATGCCTACTACAAATATTACTACTACTATACCCACTCTAAATACTACTACTACTTTACCTACTATAAATACTACTACTACTATACCTACTCTAAATATTACTACTACTATACTTACTATAAATATTACTACTACTATACCTACTATAAATATTACTACTACTACTATACCTACTATAAATATTACTACTACTATACCTACTATAAATATACTACTACTACTACTACTAACTACTATAAAATACTATTACTACTATACTACTAATAAATACTACTATTACTATACCTACTATAAATACTACTACTACTACTACCTACTATAAATATTACTACTACTATAAATATTACTACTACTACTACTATAAATATTACTACTACTACTATAACCTACAATAAATATTACTACTACTATGCCTACTACAAATATTACTACTACTATACCCACTCTAAATACTACTACTACTTTACCTACTATAAATACTACTACTACTATACCTACTCTAAATATTACTACTACTATACTTACTATAAATACTACTACTACTATACCTACAATAAATATTACTACTACTATACCTACTACTATAATATATTACTACTACTACTATACCTACTATAACTATTACTACTACTACTATACTACTACTACTAATAAATATTACTACTACTATAAATATTACTACTACTACTATACTACTACTATACCTACTATAAATATTACTACTACTACTATACCTACAATAAATATTACTACTACTATACCTACTATAAATATTACTACTACTACTATACCTACTATAAATATTACTACTACTACTATACCTACAATAAATATTACTACTACTATACCTACTATAAATATACTACTACTACTATACCTACTAGAAATATTACTACTACTACTATACCTACTAGAAATATTACTACTACTATACCTACTATAAATACTACTACTACTATACCTACTAGAAATATTACTACTACTATACCTACAATAAATATTACTACTACTATACCTACTATAAATACTACTACTACTATACCTACTATAAATATTATTACTACTACTACTATACCTACAATAAATATTACTACTACTATACCTACTATAAATACTACTACTTCTATACCTACTATAAATATTACCACTACTATACCTACTAATAAATATTACCACTACTATACCTACAATAAATATTACTACTACTATACCTACTATAAATATTATTACTACTATACCTACTAGAAATATTACTACTACTATACCTACTAGAAATATTGTTACTACTATACCTACTAGAAATATTACTACTACTATACCTACTAGAAATATTACTACTACTACTACTATAAATATTCCTACTATAAATATTACTACTACTATACCTACTATAAATACTACTACTACTATACCTACTCTAAATATTACCACTACTATACCTACTATAAATATTACTACTACTATACCTACTATAAATATTACTACTACTATACCTACTATAAATATTACTACTACTATACCTACTATAAATATTACCACTACTATACCTACTATAAATATTACTACTACTACTATACCTACTATAAATATTACTACTATACTACTACTATATACCTACAATAAATATTACTACTACTATACCTACTATAAATACTACTACTACTCTATACCTTACTAGAAATATTACTACTACTATACCTACTAGAAATATTACTACTACTATACTACTACTAGACTATATATACTACTACTATATACCTACTAGAAATATTACTACTACTATACCTACTAGAAATATTGTTACTACTATACTACTAGAAATATTACTACTACTATACCTACTAGAAATATTACTACTACTACTATACCTACTATAAATACTACTACTACTAAATACCTACTATAACTATATACTTACTACTACTATACCTACTATAAATATTACTACTACTATACCTACTATAAATATTACTTCTACTATACCTACTATAAATATTACTATTACTACTATACCTACAATAAATATTACTACTACTATACCTACTATAAATACTACTACTTCTATACCTACTAGAAATATTACTACTACTATGCCTACTAGAAATATTACTACTACTACTATACCTACAATAAATATTACTACTACTATACCTACTATAAATATTATTACTACTATACCTACTATAAATACTACTACTACTATACCTACTGTAAATATTACTACTACTATACCTACTATAAATATTATTACTACTATACCTACTATAAATACTACTACTACTATACCTACTGTAAATATTACTACTACTATACCTACTATAAATACTACTACTACTATACCTACTAGAAATATTACTACTACTATACCTACTAGAAATATTGTTACTACTATACCTACTAGAAATATTACTACTACTACTATACCTACTAGAAATACTACTACTACTATACCTACTATAAATATTACTACTACTATACCTACTATAAATACTACTACTATACCTACTATAAATATTACTACTATTATGCCTACCATAAATATTACTACTACTACTATACCTACTACAAATATTACTACTACTGTGCCTACTATAAATATTACTACTACTACTATACCTACTACAGCTATTACTACTTTATTTCTTCTTCCTTCTACTACTACTACTCTTTCCAACTACTACAAATACTCCTCCTACTACTACAAATAGTAGACTCTACTACTACTACTACTACTACTACTACTACTACTACTACTACTACTACTACTACTACTACTACTACTACTACTACTACTACTACTACTACTACTACTACTACAAAATTTCTTTCTCTTCTACTACTACGACTTCATTTCTTCCAATTCTTCTTCCTGCTACTACTACTACTACTACTACTACAAATACTACCACGTCCTCCAACAACCACGGTGCTAACTACTACTACTCCTAAGGCTACTATAAGTACTCCTCCTCCTCTTCCTACTACTACTACGACTTCATTTCTTCCTCTTCTTTTACTACTACTACTACTACTACTACTACTATTACTACTACTACCACATTTCTCAGTTCATGGCCAGTTATCATGTTGTATGAGATCGTAGGCATATATAGTAACTATAGTAGTAGTATTTGTAGTAGTAGGCATAATAGTAGTAATATTTATTAGACATAGTAGTAGGATTTGTAGTAGTAGACATAGTAGTAGTAATATTTATTAGACATAGTAGTAGTACTTGTAGTAGGATTTGTAGTAGTAGATATAGTGGTAGTATTTGTAGTAGTAGGCATAGTAGTAGGAAT